CGCCCAACACCTGGAAGCTCAACCATGAACAGCTCTGCTCGACTTTTTGGCCAAAGCCTGGCCGCACTCAGGCAAGCTCTACACCTCCTTCTCTGGTCGTCTTTAACCATGGCCTCATCTTCGGACCTACAACTACGTCCAACGAAATTCTTCAACTTGTGCGTAGCCCGATAAGTTCTCACCAATATGGCCATCGCTCAGACCGAAACAACCATGTCCAAAACGCTCAGTTTTCCCCTCGCTGAGACCGACGACAGTAGGACCTTGGCCTTGTCCTCAGCCCACGTTCTAGAGCAGAAACCGCAATGTCCCCCGCCTAGTTATTATCGACGTCTAGCGAAGCCACCATCTCCAGCCATGTGCATCAGGTACATGCCAAACGTGCGGTGGTAGCTATTCGGCGTGCAGCTAAACTTAAGTAGTGAGCTCGAACCCAGTCCAGCTCTGAAGGTAATGGAGAGCTCGTGGCAATTGGCGACGGCGATATCGACAGAGCAGAAAGAGAATATTGGCCTTGAGAATTGCGGTTTCAGGTCCTTAGTGAGGCTTTCAAGATGTGGTAGATGATATGAAAATTAAGATAAAATGGACTGTACTAAACAAAAAAAAATTGTGATCTTTTTCTTTAAAATTTTTAATTTATTTTTTTTTTCAAAAAACTTCAAAAATACATTTAGGAGGGATATTTCCAAATTTTTTCAAAAGAAACTACTATGTTTAATAAACTTTCAGGCGGGAATCCTAATTATTTTTTAGTTAATATTACAGAGTTTTTGGGTTGTAACTTTATATTATAATAATAATAATAATAATAATAATAATAATAATAATAATAATAATAATAATAATAATAATAATAATAATAATAATAATTATAATAATAGATTACTTCCAATCATTTTATATTAAATGTTATTTTAGTACAAACTTAAAATTTCATTCAAACATAACCCAATCAATTTTTTCAAAATTAACTCTAGTTAATAAACAAATCCAATCAAAACCAAAATAAACTGAAACGTAAACCAAATTAACTGAAACCTAACTCATACTTAAGTACTCCCTAAAAACGCCATCGTCAAGATTATGCCTGAGATCGTTGGTTCCTAACATATTTTTCAGGAACCGGAACCAAAACTGTAACAAAATAATCGATTCAATTAACACATAAATATTCGCAAGAAGCGGAAAAAAAACCGAACCGTGTTATAATGGTTTGGTTTTTTCGGTTCTTTGTGTAATCGAATAATAAAAAATAATCGACAATAACCGATTTTGAGTTAAGAACCGATAAAAAAATTACAACTCACATACTAAAGTATCATGAAAAACCGAGTACCGAAATATAAAAATGAGGAATTAAATATTACATACCAAGAACCGAGACAAATTCATATATATAAACATAAAAAACATGCATATTTAACATATAGTCGGTTTCTCGGTTCATACACATACGTTTGGAAAAGAATGGGAAATCGAAATCGGTTTGTGCGAAAAATAACCGAAACTGAGAAAAATATTTTTTTTTAAACTAGTATGTATCCCGTGCGATGCACGGGCTGTATTTATTTTGAGAAATATTATAAATTGAAGTGTATTATTAGATAAAATAGTGATAATTCGTAGAGAAATTGTCAAATAATAATATGTTTTTAAAATCTCCTGTTTGATAATTGGGCAACTCGTCGTCCCCACATATTAATATTTTTAACTATTTTATGTTACTTACAAACGAAACAACATATAATTTTACCGTTTCTGATATCCAATAAAGCAGACTTTTATGTGCGCTGCAACGTATATTCTGATATTGAATGTATATTTTGTGTATTGCACATAATTTAATCTTGACGAGTCATTCGGTTATCTATGAAAAGAAATAAAATAAAACAAAGTTATATTTTATATAATGATTATATGGAAAGAAATAAATTATATATTTTACTTGGGAATATAATTTTTTTATTCTTAATTTATTCAATTTTTGTTTTCAAATTACTTTGTAGAAAAAAAAAATATTTAAGCCTAATAGATACTTCCCAATAAATATGGATTAATAATTTGACCCAAATTAAAATCACATTTATTTAGCCCAATAAACATCACATTTATTTAAGCCCAACATGTGGTATATCGGGCCCCTCTCCAAAGTAAAATAACCGGCCCAACATAAAGCTTACATATGATCGGACGGTGGCAATAATTCATTTAAGATCGAATGGTTGTAAGAGGCAGACCGGAACTATAAATAGGCAAAATGTCCAAAAATTTAGGGTTTGTTCATTTTACTTTTACAGATTCTCTCTCGTTCATGTTATCTACTCTGTGTTCTCTCTAAATTTCTGGAACATATCACACATTTTTTATTTTTCTCTAAACATAATAATAAGATCGATGAGGCTGACATGAATGTGACTTTCATCAGAAAGAATTTGGAGCCTGAGCCCAAAAACAAAATTCAAATATATTGTGTATTTGTTTTTGTAGATCGAATATTGTGTTTCTAGCAGCTTTTTTTTTACGAATTTATCTTAATATTTTTTGTTTCTAGTAGGTTTTTCTTTTAATGTTCCGTGTTGTTTCATTTCAGTTATTTCGTTTTATGTTGTTAGATCGAACATGATTCTTACTCATTTTTTCGCAAAAAAATGTAAATTGGCAGTCGGATACTGATTTTATAAAAAAAATAAAAATTCAACAATAAACGGATCTTGTTTCAATTTTTCGAGTTTCGGTCAAATTCCTAATGACTTGAGTCGAAAAATATGAAAATCGGAAGTGAAGTATTGATTACTAAATTAACTCTTTGTAAATTTTTCTAAAATATTGTAGATCTGAGTAGATTAATATCATATTATGCTAAATGATCTTAGATCAGCCGCGATTATGACTCGCCCTTAAAAAATAAAAAGTGAATCGATAGTTGAATATCAATTTTTCTTTTTAAATATATTGATAAATATACGGATCTGGTTTAATTTTTTGACTTTTTGATCTAATTTCAAAAAAAATGAGTCTGATTTTTTTTTGCCTATTCATAATTGTTTCACAATTACTATATTTAAGATGTAATTAATGATTTTCGTGGGAAATTGTATCTAAATTTGTAAAAATGTTATTCTTTTTAAGTATAGATGATATATGACCGGACCAAAACAATTGTTTTCGATTCGGTTCTGTTCGGTCATGTGGTTCTGGCACATAAAATCTCACCCCTAAATAAAAAATCTTCAAAAAAGAAAAAAATTGGGGAAGTTTTTGGCTAAGGGATGAATCATGAATAAATGAATCATGAATCTTCTTGGAAACGACTGCTATGGTTGTGGTCCCCAAATGTGCCCCACAATCTCAATTTTGACCCCCACAACTGCGTAATCCGCCCATTGCTGTGGCGCCACGTGGATTGACCTTAGCTCAGCAATATCGCTCAGTCATTGCTCTTGGAGTGTCGAATCAGCTGTGAGTGAGCCCAAGCAGTTACGGTCACCTTAGCAAATACTCCCAACCTATAAAAACACGCATACACGAGCTTCTCAATTTCGTCTTCTCAAGCTCTAATGATTTAGATATAGATTGGGAATTTTGAGCGGTAGCAGACGGGGGCAAAGGAGGCCTGTTCCTATCTTCTACTTCACGTCCCTCATAGAGATAAGGTAAAAATATCGTATCTTTTGCGCTAATATGTGAATGCTTCTTGTTGATGATCAGTCTTGCTTTGGTCACTTGTTGGTGCTTTGAGTTAGGTGTTTGGTAGGTTTTCGTGGGTTTGGGTGAAAAAGCCTTCGAATTTCTGTTATGGGTTTTGTGGGTTCTTGTTGTTTTAGCAGAATTTGTTCATGGGGTTGATAGAATTTCTATGTGATGTGGGTTCCCAGTTTCTAAACCTACTTTGATTGTGTGTTGTTTTGTTTGTTTATCTTCTGCTTGTTTTCTTTTCGTTTTTTCATGGATATTTTTCGTTTTCTGTGATCCTGATGCCCGATTTAGTATGCTTAGGGTGGCTAGTAGTGTTATTGGTTAGTAGTGTTATCGGGTTTCCATTTGTAATGTGGTTAGTAGCGTTATCGGATTTCCATATGAAATGGGGTTAATAGTGTTATCAGATTTCTATATGAAATGTGGTTAGTAGTGGTATCGGGTTTCCATTTGTAATGTGGTTAGTAGTGTTATCGGATTTCCACTTGAAATGCGGTTAATAGTGTTATTGGATTTCCATTTGAAATGCGGTTAATAGTGTTATCAGATTTCTATATGAAATGTGGTTAATAGTGTTATCCGATTTAAATATGCCTATTCATCTTCTTTCCTTTTTTTCATTTTGATTTTCCTTTTCTGGAGATGATCTTTGTGTTCTGTGTTCGTGATGTTTATAATTTGAATGTCTTGAGCCTTTCCGTAGAATATATACTATTGTTGCTTTCTATCATTATCTGTTTCAGTTAATGTGAAATTTGTCATCCTCGATAACATTTAAATCCATATTAATGATGTAACGGGGCAAGAGCTACAGAGATGAGTTTTTCTTTTTCTTTCTTTTTTTTTTTTAGTGGAGGCCAAAAATCTTGTACAGTTCATGTAGTTTTCTAAAATGTTAGATGGCATGGGCTGGCGTATTCGTTTTGGCTCCAAGTTAAGTTACCGCTTTTATATCCAGAGACCTTCGATTAACTGATTAAGTTGTCTTGAATTTTCATGTAAAACCTTCCTATCAGCCTTTCTTTCTATTTCATTGTACCTGTGCAGCAAAGGAAGGTGATTTGTACTTTTATCTTTTTGCTTCATAATTTCAGTTCTATTGTGATAGCCTGAATGTGTCTACTTTCAGTTGGCTTATTATAGCTTTTATCTTATAGAAAAACATCTCCACCTTTATTTCCTTTATTTATTTTTCATCTGTCGTTTATTTGGGCTTAAAGTTTAGTGCTTCATTGTTGTTTTTTTGCTTTATTTCAGATAAAAGCCTTTCGCCTTTTTCATCAATCTCGACTTGGGTCTCGATGTGTCCTTCGGCTGAGTCTCCTCCCCGTGCAGAACTCTGTTTGTTCTTGACTGATGACCAAATCATTCCATTTCTAAATGAGTACACACCACAATCCCATCTTCCAAATAATGTGCTAGCAGACTGGAGCCCTTATCAATACCCACCCTCTAATTTACCAGGTTATTATTATTATTTTTTAATTGATTCTTTTTAAAGTTTTATGAAATTTCACATCCGGGAAAATGAATTCTTATTAAGTACCCTGTGAGTCAGTACTCCATTTTTTGCAATTCTTTTTTGGAATTTCATGAACTTTAGTAAATTCTCGATCCTGAGGTTCAAGACTATAGCTATCATGAATTTTCAGATGGCAATTTAGGATGTAATCATACTGTCTCTTTAGATTTACTCGGCAAATACATATGAATTGGTGGTCACACGCCTGTTTTCTTTAAACACTTCAATTTGTTGAAGTGGATTAATTTGAACTCTAGATGAAAAGAGTTCTCATGAAAGCTCTAAATACTTTCATTTGTTCTGTGTCCCTGTGTACTGATAAGGAAATATGGTTATATGTGTTGAACTCGTGGATTACTTATTCTCTCAGTGTTACAGAACCACCCAAATGGTTTACTCTAAAGTGTCTGATTATGCTCGTTGGGATTGAAGTCTAGCCGATCTTGGACTGTAGTAGTAAAATCGAGTGATTTTAGAGTACTTCATGTTAAAACTTAAAACAATGAAATTTCCTAAGAGATATGGTTACCATAGACTGGCATTTTATTTAAATCTTAGTATTTTACAGTTCTTCACTGAAAGAAAAAATTATTTTGTCTACTTTCAGAAGGAATGTGGTACCTCGTTCCGATAGACGTGAAAAAGGAATATGTTCATGGGTTCTGGAAAGCCAATGGAGAAGATTCTAGGATTTTCTCAAACTCCACAATCACTGGTTGGAGGACCACTTTGCAATATTTTGAAGGACAGGCCCCTGACGAGCAAAGAACAGATTGGCGCATGCATGAATATTGGATAACAAGAAAAGAGCTACATGATAAAGATAAGCCAAAGGTATGAAAGCCAAATCAATTTAGAGAACTCATATAAAACTTTTATTACTGACCCTTCTATTTACAACAAGTCCGGGTCCATATTTACTAGTTCGGTTGGATAATTGTGCAGGAGCCAAGACTGCTATGCAGAGTCTTCTGTAATGACAAGAATGGGAAAAGTGAAAATCGTTCCCAAAATTACGTAACCACCATTGAACCAGAAAATATCAATTACTTGGCTTTAATTAAATCTAATGCTGATGTAACCTCAGGCGAAGATTGTGGAAGTGAATCTAAAGTGAGTTGTAGTTATCGAAGCTTGATTACCTTGTATATTAAACAGCTCTACATATAAAATTGCAATCAAGTTTGACATTGCCTCGTTTTATTAGTTTCCCTTTTTTCCTCTGAAAAATGAACTTCAGCTGGAAAAGTGCATAGGAAATAGTTCAAAGCATTGGTTCCACATGTCAGACTCTTTAAAAGACTTTGTATCTGCTCGTCTTTATGTTTCGTAAAAATTTATTTTGGCTTTTCCCTTTGGTTAATAGGCAAAGGAGGAGCGTGAAGCGGCAGCTGATAACAATGCAGAGGTGAACCTGAGAGGTGAACCTGATCCTGAAGTGAGTCATGTTGCAATAATTTTTCGTCAATCTCCGAGTGAATTTCCTTTTCATTTTCCGAGTATTATTAGGCTTTCTGTTTATTTAAAAGATAAATGTGCTTTCAACTAAATTCCATTGGATATTTGTTTAAATGCGGGTCAGGTTCTTCAAGGATTCATGACATTCACCTATTTTTCCGATAAAGTGGGAAAAAAAGAGCGCACAAATTTTTTAGAGTTATGTCATGTATGTTTGGGTTTGTGCAGGCGAATAGAGAGTGTGAAGGGGCAGTGGCTCCTTGTGCGGCTGATAACAAACCAAACTCGTCTGGGCAAGTTTTCTCTCAAGTCGAGTGTTTCGAGAGAGGTGACTTCTTGGAATTAGCTGATCTTGAGGACAATGGCTCGCATTCTTCCAGTTCACGAAACTCGAGCTGTCTCAGCTCTTCATCTGATGAAGAGTTTGACGTGTCGGCTTACCTGAGGGACATTGAGGCGGACGAGCTAAATCCTATGCGTGGGGAGCAGTCGAGTTCGAAATACGAGTTTACTTCGGTTAGGCTGGATGATGTGGTTCTGGAGCCCCCACCTTCAGGTACAACTAAAAAAACGAGTAAATAAATAGAGACAGAAAGAAAAGAAGTGACTGAGAGAGAGAGAGAGAGAGAGAGAGAGAGAGAATGGTATTGACTGGTTCCATACAAGCACACTCCTTTCTATCTGTATAAAAATATACATCTCAGATTTTTCTCTGTTCAAATGTGTGATAGGGACCTTGTTGACTGGTTCTGTACAAAACAATGTTGCCGAGGGCTCACAAAGAGTCTTAACGGTCCAAAAAATGTCGGCAGACGAACAAGAAATGGAAAACGCTACAGAAGGGCACAATCCAGACAGCCCGATTGAAGGCACCTCAAATAATGGTATTGCCGGTCGGGAGAGAAAGCTCGGTGATTCAAGCCGAATGAAGAAGCTGAAAATGTGTTTCTGTTTTAAGCCATTCTGAAGCGTACATAGGCGTTTCTTTTCAAATGTGTTCCAGTTTTAAGCAAATGTAGCTATTTTGAGTGTGTTAGTCAAAGGAACACAAACATTAAAGAAAGATGGCAACCAGTTATGTACAATGTTATGGAACAATTGCTATTAGTTCTTATTACTTAATTTTAAAATTGTTTTTGAGGATATATGTGAATGTATATATAAGATGGTCGGAATTTCATCACAATAGCAATTTCGGTGAAGGCTAGGCGAAAATCCGGCATCTCAGCTTGGATTGGACTTAATAAACCGAAATTTGTAAACTTGTGAGCGAAGTTGAAACCTCAAAAAGCTTTTTTAAACGACGGCCTAAACCAACACAAAAAGAACCCGGACTAAGGGCAGTCCACACACTGAGACCCTTAGTCCAGAAACAGAACACTGAACCACTGGACCTAGACTTCATCTTCTACTCTTGTCTGCTCTATCTACTGCTGCACTAAACAAATTCCTGCCGCTTCTTCGCCGCTAGCTGGACTACCACCTACTCCGACATCCAAATCTTGTTAAATTTTCAAAGATTGAGAGATTTCTATAGCCACCACAACATATATGTAGTCAACTCATGGACGGATCTAGTATAGGCCTGGGCTGGGCCGAAGCCCAGGCCTATTATTTATATCCTTATAATATTAGTTTGAACAAACAAATTATTGTATTTTTAACCTAACTCAATAATCAACCTACTAACTCAACAAAATAATTCATTTATATATTAAGTTCAAAGATTACTAACACCACTATAATAAAATATTATATAATGTTGATCAATCATTTCTACGAGACATTAACCCACAAAACACCACTATACACCAAACTTAAATTAAATAAATTAACCACGGTCATGCCCCTCTGAACACCTCGGACAATGAATTTAGAAGAAAAAAAAAACTATTCAACAAAAAAAAGAATACTTTCATGAAGACTATATAATTTATTCTTTCATAGAAAGTTATATCTTTAAACCCCATATTAGATATCTATTTCATTTGTCTAATTGCCTTCATTTGTCTTCTTATTTTAGTTGAGCTATTTAGGGTTTTAATATTAATTGCTATGATCATTTGGTTGCAATTCTTGTTTTGTCGATTGTGTATGAAGTAGTAATTGTGTGTTTGTGTTTTTTTTTTTAATCTCTTATCCTTTAGTGTGGTTGTTGTATATCATAGTTGGATATAATTATGATGGGTAGGCATTTCATTTTTCTAATGATTACGTCGTAAGAAAAATCTATTTATTTATATTGTGGAATTTTTAGCTGGCATGGAGCACTAATTTTCGGCCAAGAAAGGAAAAACTCCCATTGATATCATCGTTCTTCATAAACGAGATCGACGTCAAACTAGTGAAAGCACATCAAATACGGTGCACAATGAGCATAATAATTTTTTTTAGAAGCTTGTTGAGTAGAACATCAGTGAATATTTGAAGAAAAAAATATTATGTAATTTTTATTAAAACTAGTTTTTTTAAAACTCTAGTCCAGTCTGCTCTTAATTTTTGGATCCGTCCTTGGCTAAGTTGTTCATTAATAATAGGAAAAGAAATAATTTAAACTAGTCATACTAACGGCAAATGGCTCATAGAACATCTTTAGTTAGGCTATGTTTCGTAAAACTAGTTGATAGCTGATAAGCTAGCTTATAGCTTGCTTATCAGTAATTTATTAGCTTATAACTTATAGCTTATGACTTAAAAGCTAGCTTATATAATAAAAGTGTTTGGTAAAATTAACTGATAAACTAGTTGAAATAAAAAATTCAACTAACTTATTTGAAAAGCTACTTAAGGGAATCAAATAAGCTCGAGCTTTTTAAAAAAGCTCGTCCTACCAAACAAGGTTTATTGGAATATAGAGAACTTATAAGCTAACCAAATAAGCTATAAATTAGCTTATTTAAACATAACCTTAGGCTATGTTTGGTAAACCAAATAAGCTAGCTTATAGCTTATTTGGTTAGCTTATAAGCTTCCTGTATTTAAATAAGCCCCGTTTGGTAGGACGAGCTTATTTAAAAAGCTCGAGCTTATTTGATAAGCTTGTTTAAGTAGTTTTTCAAATAAGCTAGTTGAATTTTTTATTCCAGCTAGCTTATCAGCTAATTTTACCAAACACTTTTATCATATAAGCTAACTTTTCAGTTATAAGTCATAAGCTATAAGCTCAAAAATTACATATAAGCTATAAGCTAGCTTATCAGCTATTAACTAGCTTATCAGCTAGTTTTACCAAACATAGCCTTAGTGATCGGGTAAGCAAAAATTAAAGTTGCTTCCATATCCTTCTATTTTTATAATGTGCAACATTTTGTCATTTACATCAATCATCAAATTTTGTCATTTACAATTAAACCCTGGGGGCGAATCGGTCTTTTCGTAGCCAGTACTATATGGTGAGTCGCATCACACAAAAGGCGCTAATTCATGGCTCGAGTGCATGATTGGGGAGCCCTCGTCGCCACGTGGATGTCTGCCATTCGTCAGAGTCAGTTCTTCGGGATTCACAGCGCTTTGAACAAAATAATAATTAAAGCTATGAATGACTGACACAGTTACTCTCATTTTCCCTCTCTCTCTCTCTCTCTTTCACTCACTCTCTCTCTCCATACTGTGTTTTCTCTTCCTCACAAAAATCCAAATTTCTTTCAAATTTCAAGCTTACTTCACACGCAACGCTTGGTTTTCGGATTCTGTAATGAATTATCTTTCGATCGAGGGTAATTTCATGGCGTGAGGCTCCCCAGATTGAGCTCAATTCGTGTTTTTTTCTTGTAGTTTTTTTTTTCTTTTCTTTTTTGTGAGAAACTGGAAAATGCTTGAGGCTTCATCTGGCGTCAGCAATGGCGGGCTATCCGCGCACTCTTCCCAGATTCTCAACGGCAGCGGAGATAGCTGCGAGGAGGAGCTCTCCGTCCTGCCGCGGCACACGAAGGTCGTGGTGACTGGCAACAACCGTACAAAGTCCGTGCTCGTGGGGCTTGAAGGTGTGGTGAAGAAGGCTGTTGGGCTTGGTGGTTGGCATTGGCTGGTAATTTTACTGATATGTAATTTGAGTTGCTTATTACATTGTCTTTTTGAAGCTCTTACTGGGGATTTGATGGTTTTTTACTGCAATGCATTGTGACTGCAACTTGTTTTTACTTGTCATTGCTGTGTTTTTCTGATTGTCTATGAAATTGAAACAGGGATTATTCGCCTTTTGATGGATTTTCTCAATGCTTTGAATTTAACTTTTTTTTTTTAAATTATGTTTCGAGTTTTTATTGTTGAAATTATTTGGAAGTTTTAGAACCAGTTTTAGCTTGAGCTACTTTGGAGTTCTGATTTTGTTATACACTAAATGCAGCTCGTTTGCATTCCGGGTTTCTGTTAATGGATCTGATGTGTTGTGAGGTTTTTCTGAATGTTTGTGTTTCTTTCCTTATCCAGTTTTTCCCCCTTTGTAATTGGACTTTCTTGCAATAAAATGTCTGTGCTCTGTATCTTATTCTCTGCAAAATCTAAACTCTGCTGCAGTGTAACTTCATCATGGGGTGATAGAATTGAGACAACCCTGATATTAATTTATTTAATTTAAATATTATTATTTTGTTTCTTTATTTGAGGACTAATTTCCCATTGTATTAACTAACACAGCAGTCCATCAATGGTTGCTACTTGCTTTTGGATTCATAATATAATTCTGTTGAAACAGTAAATGAATATCTATATCTAGAAAATTCTGGAGAGGGACACCACGGACTCCCGATTCTCATCGGCAATAGTTCTTACACGTGCTTTCATTGACCAAACAGGTTCTCACAAATGGCATTGAGGTAAAGTTACAGAGGAACGCTTTAAGTGTCATTGAAGCTCCTACTGGAAATGAAGAAGATGATGACCTTGAAGTTGATCAAGTGCAGTGGGGTAGCTCAGATACGGGTGAGCTTAAGAGTGTGTTTTTGATATCTAATACTAATGGTATTGCCTGTTTTAATATCCTGCTTCAGATAATAATGTGAGATCATCAAAAAAACACTTCTTTGAAAGATTTCCTTTTTATTTTAGGGAAATACTATCGTTCGGTTACGGAACTATCCCGTCGGGTGTTTTAACCGTTAGATCATCTATCTTATACTAACTACATGTGTATCCAACGATTAAAACTCCCAACGAGATGGTTCCGAAACGGGACCGTAGCATTTCCCTTTATTTTATTAATATGTCATGCAAACAATTTATTCTACCTTTTAGGTGGATAACAGATTTAGTTAATCATGTGCCTAATGTATGAACATTTTGAAAATCGTTGTGGGCATTAGGACTGCTGGATCACTGTCTTTTAAATTTTCCTGCATTTTGTAGGCGAAGTATTAATTCTTATTAAATGCACTATAGTTCAAAAATAGGAGAGTAGGTATGGATGTTATTAGTCATTACTCATTACATAGTGTATTTGCTGTCCTTTCCCATTATTACCCCCTTTTTTCTTTCTCCTCCCCTTGTTTTATCCAAGGATAATATTCTATTTGTACAGTGGGACTCATACAATGACTGACAATGGCAAGCCAATTACAAATTTACCCTTACAATTATAACCTTCTAATTATATTGTTAATGTTTATTGAGTTACAATAACCATTCCATGCATCTACATTTCAGTAAAATTTTGAAATTAATCGTCTTTTTTTTTTTTGTTCTCTTTATATTTCTACTATACTTTTAAAACTTTTTCAAAAATACGACATTCGAAATGCAACGTACAAACCATTCATATATTTGTCTTAAAAAAAAAATGTAATGTGGACACCGATAACAAAGATAAACCTCATATCAATCATTCATAAACTATAAAAGTTAGTAAATTTTCAATTTTGAAAATGAACTTGGTAAATATATTAAAAGAGAATTTATTGGTAAATAGTGTAATTTATTCATTTATTTTTTTATTTTTTTATGCAAAGATTTTCTTAGTAAGTATACTCCAAATTGCACAATTCAAAAGTAAATTCGATAATCACCAAAATTCACTTAAAACATGGATAACTTGTCAAAATTCATAGTTGTGGAAGTTACACAGCATATCAACCCTCATTTGGTTATCAAAACAAATGCTTCATTTTCTTTCAATAATATCGTTTTCCGGCTAATACTGTTTGATAACTTTTGGGGATTATAATCTCTTTTTTCTTCTCCAAATACTTCATATGGACGAAAGGATGATAGAATGGTGATGAAATTGCATATTTGGTGAATGTAGAACAAATTTATCAATTTATGATCATTTTATCAATTTATCGTGATACTTTGCCTTACAATTATCACGATAAACCGTGATTGTAATTCTCATCGTAAAAAGCCATTGTACACATAGCACTGGTCTTTATCTAATTCTAAATATGGGACATTGTTATTCTTGTTTTGCTTTTTCCCCCTCGTCCCACCCAATAATTTGACTAATCTGTGCATTTAAAATTCCTCAGCATTTCATGATTTTCAAAAGTCCCAAAGATCAAGGCATCGTACTCACCGATCATTCGGTTCGACCAACAAAGCACTTAGCCGGTCTCCCTCCTGCGAGTCGCCTAGAGATTCTGTTTCTACTTCAAAAAAGCCTTTGGTGAGAACATTCAACTGTGCCATTCCTTGATTTATTTTTTTCTCTTTCCATGAACTTTAGGTAAATTACACAACGCTTCAATCATCTTTGGAAAGAAAAAAAATTTCCCCTTAGACCAGCTCCAATTGCTCCAAAACACAAATAATGGTGCAAAAGGGAGTCCAATGTATTGCAAAATGAACAAAATGTCTTTTTTGGGTTTCTCTCTCGTAGTAATTGAATTTGCATTCAAGGTTAAACAATACATTTGATATGCATAAATTGCATTGTAGTCCTTTATGTTTTTTTGAATACACAATGCATCTAATAGTATCTATATTAGTTGTCTTGATATATATAACTTTTACTCTAATTGAGTTGTAGATATTTGTATAATCATGACTACATAAAAAGAGAGAGAAAACATTGGCATATATTATTCGACATTAAGAGATATAATAAAAGTAAGAACATAAACATTAGCATCTATTATGTAACTCTAAGAGAGATACAACAAATAAGAAGAGGAAAAAAAGAGATACTATAAATAAGAATGAGGCATAAATTAAGTTCATATCAACAAATGAAACATTGGTGAAATGAGACATTAAAATGCTTGTACCATGGTGGAAGTTAAAGCAATAACCGAAACAATGAAACACGACATTACTAGAAACATTTGAAATAACAAAAGGAAGATTTTGTGACAGGCAACATTTTTTTTTTAAAAAAAAAAAACAATTGGTTAATCAACAGTTGAAAATAAAAAGTAATATTCCAATAATATTCTTTTGAATTCGAGAATGATTATTGTAAATTAGGAATGAGTTTTGTGGTTAGAGATGACCTAAGTGTTTCCCGCCCTTGCAAATGTAAAACAAGTGCAGGGTTTATCCACAGTTTTGAAAATTATTATTATTTATTTATTGAGACACAATCTAAGTAAGAGGTAGATTTTGTGATTCATCCTCATTTAAAACTGTTATGTTTCTAGTGTGCAACTAATACTGTTAATGACATACTGCATTGATTTTTTTTTATTTTTTTATTTATTTATTTATTTATTTTTAATTCATAACTTTGTGTTCTGAAGGTTGACCTCAGCAAACTGGAGATGTCTGCTCTATGGAGATATTTGATGCACTTTAACCTCGTGAGTGGCCATGAAATACACAGAAGGACCCTGAATTTGTGATTTATCGGGACATAGGATCTTGTTCAGCATTTTGGACTGACACTACCCATTTTTTACTTTAATAGGTGGACGCCATTCCGAACCCTTCTAAGGAACAACTGATTGACGTTGTGCAGAGGCATTTCATATCACAGGTATTCATTAGTCCTATATCATGTATTTTAACAGATATTATCCCAATTGTTGAATATCAATATGTAATTGCAGAATATTCCATTTGTCTTGCAAAATTACAAAAATGTGTTGCATCTTAATGGCCATTTTTTCGTGTGTTGTGTAGCAACTGGATGAATTGCAGGTGATCACTGGGTTTGTTCAGGCTGCAAAGAGGCTGAAGACAGTTTGCAAATGACCCTCAAGAGATTGTATTTAGTGTTCGTTTCCTGACTGTTAACAAGTTGTGACAACACAATTTCTGGGGCCTGCTTACTTGATTAGTATGAGAAATGTAAATGGTATCCTTTTGATGATAACTGCCATTTAGTCGGATATATGTGACCGTGTAGATACGTGTATTTTAAGACAGTAAACTGACTGAACCTTAGAATCGCATATCCCTGGCAAAATCAGAAACATTTTGGTTGATGTTTTGCTAGGTGCTAGGACGGGAGAATATGTAGACCTGTGAAGAAATGTTTCAGTATCATTCAACCAGGCAGGCCAAAACCATCTGAATATATATGTATTTTGCTTTTGATCTATGTTCTTTCAGATGTATATATGTGAGTTGATGCCTTCTTTAGTTCTTTATTATGCGCGGGTGATAAAGTTTAGATCCATCCCAACCACACAGTTAGCTTTTATAAGTTACATTGTCAAGTAATGTTTTTGGTCAATCAACATTATCGACGAGCATACGGTGGAGCACCCTTTTGTCGAAACTGAGCCCTACCTTGGTTGGGGTGTAATAGAGCCAGGATATGTCTTGTTTCACTCGATACTTTTATATGTCTTGTTCCACTGGATACTTTTATCAACTTCGGCTGTCTTTGGGCACTATAAATCCACAGCCACTGCCAACATGAAAATAAAATATAAAACTGGATTGGAGATACCCATGAACGACATCACTGACATATAAATTTAGTGAACCAACATCAAATGGCTCTTATCCAACGCCACGCGATAAATGACATGCTAGGGTGGTGGCGACTCTTTGTTTGTGAGCGGTAGGAGTCCAAGTGAGAGAATCTATCTTTTCGAAGTGCGTTAGCCTACGGTGAGGCTCGTCATAGAAATGCTTGGAACGATTTGTTTAGTCAAGCGCCTATCGGTTATGGCACAAATGACCTCATCATGGTTCTCATCAAGAGTCTCACCCTCTGGAACTTAGGGTGAGAATCTCATGTGTACTGTTTTTTAGTTTCTAAGTTCTTAATATAAGAGCATCTCCAATGGTCTTTCCCTTTCTCTATTTTATTGCCACATGTCACAATTTATCTTATGTGGCTTGAAAAAATTCTAGAAGGCTTTCTAGATGTAGAAGCCTTTCTAGACAACCTCTTTTGTATATTAGAATATTTATTTAATTTATTTATCTTCTTCAACCAATTAAAATTCAACACATCACAAATGAAATCACAATTAACATTTATCATTGGAGACATAATTTTTTAGTTTCCATTCTCCATGCCATACAACCCAAAATGGACAATCATCCATTGGAGATGCTCTAATTATAAGTTTCTAAAACAAAAGACTATACAACTCCATGACCCTTTTTGAAATCAAACAACATAATAGACCATTTTTTTTTAAATCAAGTTAGCATTATTTCACGTAAGAGTACACATAGTATACCAAAGGGAAGTATTCAGATTTTATTATTTAAATCAAAATAAAAAAAAATTAACTAGACAAAAATAAAATAAAAAAAGGGGGTCGACCAAAACAAAACAGACGTATTTTCAGAATACGTTTTACATTGAAAAACGTATTACGAGAATACGTTTTAAAAGTAAAACGTATTCTCATGTTCTGTTTTATAACGAATTAAATTTTTAAACGTGATTAACTTAAATACATTAATATAAAACATGATTAAGAAAATTAAATTAAATTAAAACGTATTTTAGGATTAGTATTTTTGAATTACGTTTTAATTACAAAAACGTATTTTAGATATACGCTTTTTTTAAATAAATTTTATATACATATAAAAAATTTGTAAAATTTTTAAATTTTTTTTTTTTTATAATGGAAAACGTATTCTCAGAATACGGTTTCAGCGAGCAAACAGTATTCTGAAAATACGTTTTCAAATATAAAAAAATAGGTAAAACGTATTATGAAAATACGTTTTACTGTACAGAAACAACAATTTTACAATAAAAATAAAAATAGAACACCTGTTTGTCGAAATCGATTCCACAACCAAATATTGAACAACCAAATATTCATCCAAAATATATCAATTCCACAAAAAAAATTGAAGCACAATAATTTATTTAAAATACCAATATGTGTGAATTTAATTACACAAAAGTCAAGAAAAACAAAATGTCCATAAATTTCCTAATAGTTGCTAGGAATGAATTGATCCAGAGGTCTGCGCTCCCAGGAGCCCTTCCGACGCTGGTACGTCTGTAAAGAAGACGAGGCTTTGGGCGTGGCAGCTTCTTCTGTATCTGTGGGCGTGGCAGCTTTTTCTGTATCTGATGATATTTTAAGAAAAATCGGAAATTCTGCTTTACAATAAATAAATAAATAAATAATTTAAAAATCATATTGTAGTTAAGTAAAAAAATCTGACCTTCTTCTGCTTGTTCCTCAGGCACGGTATTGGGAGGCACGGTGTTGGCATCGAGTTCGCGGATACGGCGTCTTCTACGCCCGCCAATATTGGCAGCAGGTCCATGCCTCGCCCATAGCTCTCTTGAGATAGAACTTGACTCGACGACGTCCCTTGCGTGACCCCTTGTCCTCCGACAGTCAGTCCACTTTGGAACATGTTTTGGGCATTTGCGATTATGGACTGCTGCACTGGAGTGAGTGCATTATAGTCAAGGGTCGATAACAAGTTATAAACCCCCTCCATGGCATTGGCCTGAAAAAAAAATTTGAAAATTATTACCATTAAACAAAAAAAAAAATAAAATAATAAGAATAATAATAAAAAAACATAATTTATTAACAGTTACACTGCACATCCTCTGCTCGGACAGTGGATGAAAGCCTCCTTGCTGTTGGACCACCGGGTTGTTGCCAAGATTACTGATTAGTCTTCGAGTCCTATAGTGAAACCAATCAAGGTAACCCGACTCAGGCTCAAGGAACGACTCCACAGGGTAATGTGGAAGGACATGTTGGGCTCTTTGGTCGACCCAAACATTCCCAAGTGCTCCATGATACTCCACCCAATCATATAATGCCCTCCCAGTCATTTTCTGGCCTCGGTGGTGTGTCTGGTACTCAGCCGAACCCCTAATGATCGGAGGGTCGGGGATGGCTTGCCGACACCCGAACTAACGGATGACCCTATCAGTCAGGTGCTGCTCACGAATGTCCCAACAGAAGATCCACCCTCTATACATCCAGAGGTGTGAACCTTCTGTACACGAGGCCGGGAGAGTACCCTCGTCCAGGTGGCGCTTATATGGCACCCAATTGAACTGTAAAAAAAAAAAAATAATATTTATTAAGTTATAGAAAAATAAAAAACGAAAAACAAATATATATAATAATCAATATTACTTAATCAAAATCTTACACCATTCTCTGTCAGCCACGTTAATTGATCTCGGATAGCGGCTGTTCCCTTTCCGATGTGTTTCATATTCCTCCGTCCCACCCACCTTAAAAATCAAATAATAAAAAAAAAAACCAAAAATTTTATTTCCAAAATTTTATAGTTAAAATATTTTAAGTATTAAATATAAATAAATGTGATTACCTTGCTCCTAAGGGACAACCATGGACTCTGTCAAAGTTGGTATCCCTCATTTTTGGGCTAATACGAGGGATACGTTCTCATGCCCAAACCTACAAATATCGACATAAATATTTGGTTAATATATATTAGGATAAAGTATAATAAAAAATGAATGAAGTAATAACAAGTAAGTACATTTATTTATCTGAATCAATTGAACACAGTTCTTGATCCAGATTTCCTCGGCTCTGGCAGTCAAGGTGAGCCCTCTATAGACCCCGGCCAGGACAACTGAACCCCATCTGTACTGCTTGATCTCATCGATCTCGAGCAAGTGCTGCATCTAGTACAGCATGACCCCATTCACCCTCTGATCGGGGAAGAAAAATGACCCGATACACCAGAGTATAAGCGCCCTCGCCCTCTGTTCGTAGCGAGAGGGAAGCTCTTCATTTGTTAACAGTCTATAACACTCCTTTTCAATTGCCGAGGTCTTCAAAAACTGGCCTGTAAGTTCCGGGGTGCCCTCCGGATCGTTATCAGCCTGAGAGTGTTATATATATATTGAAAATTAATGAATGGAATAAACAAAAAAAAAAAAAATGTAGGAAAAAAATTACCTTGACTGAGGGCTCGAACCCTAGATAATCGACACAGTGTTCTTGCCATTGGTGGGGTTCGAACTCAACTGTTTCTCCCCAACACGGCGTTCCATCAATCGGGAGACCAAAAAGGACTTGTATATCCTGCAGCGTTATTGTAGCCTCCCCGAAGTCAAAGTGGAAGGTGTTCATCTCCGGACGCCACCTCTCCACTAGACATGTAATCAAGCTGTTTTCCGTCGATATTCTGTCCATTCTGAAAAGCGGCCCGAAACCGGTCCTTTCGATCACCTTCCATACTTTGTAATGTTGTACCTCCAACGCCTTCCAAAACTGACTGTCGAAACGGCGGGTTCTAACCACGCCGTGACGATATCCCTCCACATCGTCGTATACAGCTTGCGACCGGTGGTTGTCCTGAAGGTATAGAAGGGGCGATCCATCGGACCGGGATGGACGGTGTAGCGCTGCGGCTGTGAGGAGGATGCCATTTTCTACAAAAATAAAAAATTAATAAAAAATCATTACATATAAGAAAGCTTAATTTAGAACAAAATAAAAAAATAGACGAAACATAAAAAACAGGGCTAACATAATCGAAACGAACCGTTCAAATCATCCAACTACAAGCAATTATGTACAACAATTCATTTGAGGCATTTTATCGAACACCTTCAATTCATAGTTTTCCAAACAAACTACAAAACTCTAATCAATTTCAAAATAACCCATCAATTTATCACACAAACATATCAACAATTCATCAACATATCTCAATCATTACAAATTCACAAATTAAATATCAAAACAAATGAAAAATAGAAAAAAATTGTTAACTCTAACATCATGTTTTTGCTACAAACGCACCATCTATATCTC